TTTAACATAAAGTAGCCATTTGGCGCCGCTCCAAAAAAGATATCTAACTCATTGATACTCTTTTTTTGGTACTCAATTTTTTTCCTTGTTTATAACATTAAAAAAGCAAAAATTAGCGTGTTTTAGGACCGTAATAAATTGCTTTATCGTCATTAGACAAAGACACCGGAGCTTCCGTATCAAATGACCCATTTTGAGGGGGAAACCGTATCGCTTTATGTGTACGCCCCCGAAAGTGATCGATGACTGCTTTTTTGTAACATGTTTTTCGTAACAATTTTCATAATTTCGCATTTTTCTCAATATCTATGCTTCTAAGAGCAAAAGTACAAGAGAGCAATATTGCTAAGTATAAAATTTGTTACAACTTTTGTTCTAAAAGTTTTTTTGTAACATGCCCCGATATCCAAGTGTTACCATGAACTACCTTGAAAACGACAAAATTCATAAAATTTTGATATTTTCGTTTGTTTCTCAATATCTATCCATCTGAGAGCAAAAGTGCAAGAGAGCAATATTGTTAATAATAAAATTTGCTACAACTTATGTTGTAAAAGTTTTTTTGTAACATGCTCCAATCTCCAAGTGTTACCATGAACTACTTTGAAAATAACAAAATTCAACAAACTTTCATAATTTCGCATTTTTCTCAATATCTATGCTTCTGAGAGCAAAAGTACAAGAGAGCAATATTGCTAAGTATAAAATTTGCTACAACTTTTGTTCTAAAAGTTTTTTTGTAACATGCCCCGATATCCAAGTGTTACTATGAACTACTTTGAAAACGACAAAATTCATAAAATTTTGATATTTTCGTTTGTTTCTCAATATCTATCCATCTGAGAGCAAAAGTGCAAGAGAGCAATATTGTTAATAATAAAATTTGCTACAACTTATGTTGTAAAAGTTTTTTTGTAACATGCTCCAATCTCCAAGTGTTACCATGAACTACTTTGAAAATAACAAAATTCAACAAACTTTCATAATTTCGCATTTTTCTCAATATCTATGCTTCTGAGAGCAAAAGTACAAGAGAGCAATATTGCTAAGTATAAAATTTGCTACAACTTTTGTTCTAAAAGTTTTTTTGTAACATGCTCCGATATCTAAGTGGTATCATTAACTGCTTTCAAAATAACAAAATTCTACAAATTTTCGCATTTTTCTCAATATCTATTTTTTTCTTTGTTTATAACATTAAAAAAGCAAAAATTAGCGTGTTTTAGGACTGTAATAAATTGCTTTATCGTCATTAGACAAAGACACCGGAGCTTCCGTATCAAATGACCCATTTTGAGGGGGAAACCGTATCGCTTTATGTGTACGCCCCCGAAAGTGATCGATGACCGCTTACTTTCAAAAGAGATGGAAAAAAAATCGACGTTTCTCATATTTCTTCGTCTTTACTTTCTCCGTTTTTTATTTTATTAATATAAAAGTGGCCTCAAAAATTAGTTATTCTTGTAGTTTTGAAACGAAATTCTTTTCGCTTTGTTTTCTGTGGTTGAGTTATTATATTTCACGCCTGCGGTTGAGACCTAAGATAACGGGAAAGTGGTGTTTTCATTAAAAAAATTAATGTCACTGACCACTCCGGTGCAAACCTCAATTTCGATGGGAGGGAAAGTGGTCGAGCAACGGCGGTAGAAGGAAAAATAAAAATGCGGGAGTTCATGACACACTTTCGAAACTCCTTCTCTAAAACTAAACAACACATAAATTTAAACCGATTATTATTTTTATTTATCTTCGATTTTTCAGCTTGAAATTGGAAATGTACTTCTTACTTCAAAGAGAACTTGCTTTTATATTTATATTAAATTCAAATAGCACATTTATAGAAAATACGTTCGATTATAATGAATAGATTGCATCCAAAACCGATTAACAATAAATAAAATTAATAATTATATCACCAATAAACATTTAAAGACAAATATCGCTTTCACCTAAGTGATTAAAGAAAAATTAACTTTATCGGGTAATCTAAAATGACATCTATTAAAGGAATTTTTCAATCTCGAGAAAACAATAAAGCATAAGAACTCATATCAAGCGGATAAGCAAGCTGGGAAACCGCAGGAATGTATTTACTGCAACCTTTTTGAATGAGTGCAACATATTTGGAACAATTTTAGATACACTTTTCAATAGTTTTGAATAACTTGGAATAGTTATGAACCAGTTTTAATCTTTTAGACAAATTTTAGGCAATCATCAACTAGTTTGCAACCATTTTCCAATGACTATGAATATCTTGAATATACTTTCCAAACATTTTGAACAGCTTTGCAATGTTATAAACTTATTTTGAGTCTTATTTTAAGCTTTTGGACAAGTTTGCAACTATTTTGAACAACATGGAATAGCTCTAAATCAATTTTTAATCATTTAGACAATGTTCCACCTATTTTGCGTTCATTTTGAACAATCTGAAATAACAGTTTCTATTCTTTTCTCTTGACGATGGTGTGCAATACTGACTTGTCCACAAGTCTGTCCTGGTGTTCCTCTACTTCCTCTTTTAGTTGATCTATAAATATTATAAACAAAGTTGGAGTTAATCCTCCATCCTTGGACGAATTCTCTTGATCTTAAATTTCCATATATCAACTGTATGATTCTTAATGTTTTCCCACCAATTCCTCTTCTTTGTAGTATTTCGCAAACAGACTCTTCTATTTTGCTGAATTATCATTTCCGCAATATGTTGGTCTTCATTTGAATCATTTTGAACAATTTTGCAATTCTGTAATAATTTTGCAACAATTTTCTAATCATTCTAAGCATCTAGAACTAATAATTAAACAGTTTTCAATCATTTAGACCACTTTTCCTTCAACACCAACCAGGTTCGAATTATTTTGAATAATTTTGGAATTCTGTAATAATTTTTGCAACAATTTTCCAAAGATTTTAATTTGGATTAGAATCATTTAGATAACTTTTTAATGCACAACAACCAGGTGCATTAACAACTACATTATGTTAACTAAAAATGAATTGAAATCACAAAGAATTGTAAATAATTTAATGCGCAATTTCAGTACGTTTTGAATATTTTATTTCGCAAATTAAACATGCCCTTTGGGTTTATTGATTATTATAATGGAAAATTCAGTAAACGTGTAATTGTATCAATCAAAATGGTCTTTAATTATTAAAAGTTATTTAAAGTGATTTATGGATTTGTAAAACAAAAAATCTGTTGGAAATTTCTCTAAATGTTTGGAATAAAAACTAAATCGAGCAATTTTAAGTTGTTCAAAATCATTTTAAACTGAAAATTGTTTTGCAAAATTGTTCAAAATGATTAAAAATTGAATGGCGATCTTTAATAACTTGTCTAAATGATTGAAAATTGTTTCATTACTAATCCAAGTTGTCAAAAATCTTTGAAAAATTGTTACAGAATTGCAAAATTGTTCAAAATGATTCAAACCTGGTTGGTTATCACAGAAAAGTGGTCCAAATGATTGAAAACTGTTTAATTATTAGTTGTAGATATTTAGAATGTTTGGAAAATTGTTGCAAAAAATGATGTATAATAATTGCTGGGTTTGATTGGAAAAATATTGAAAAAAAAAATGTTGAAATAAAACTTACATTTTCGTATAACCTAAAAGTGTCAAAAAAGATGCTAATTTAAAAATTCCTGGAAGCCGTGTTTATTGAAATTAAGGAATGAGACTTATTCTAAATTAAAGCTCTAATCTTTCTCTTTAAAATGATGTTAATAATGGTTGGGTTTGATTGGAAAAATATTGAGAAAAAAAATGTTGAAACAAAACTTACATTTTCGTATAACCTAAATGTGTCAAAAAAGATGCTAATTTAAAAATTCCTGAAAGCCGTATTTATTGAAATTAAGTAATGAGACTTATTCTAAATTAAAGCTCAAAGCTTTCTCTTTAAACTGATGTATAATAATGGTTGGGTTGGATTGGAAAAATATTGAGAAAAAAAATGTTGAAACAAAACTTACATTTTCGTATAACCTAAAAGTGTCAAAAAAGATGCTAATTTAAAAATTCCTGGAAGCCGTATTTATTGAAATTAAGGAATGAGACTTATTCTAAATTAAAGCTCAAAGCTTTCTCTTTAAAATGATGTATAATAATGGTTGGGTTGGATTGGAAAAATATTGAGAAAAAAAATGTTGAAACAAAACTTACATTTTCGTATAACCTAAAAGTGTCAAAAATGATACTAATTTAAAAATTCCTGGAAGCCGTGTTTATTGAAATTAAGGAATAAGACTTATTCTAAATTAAAGCTTAAAGCTTTCTCTTTAAAATGATGTATAATAATGGTTGGGTTGAATTGGAAAAATATTGAGAAAAAAAATGTTGAAATAAAACTTACATTCTCGTATAACCTAAAAATGTCAAAAAAGATGCTAATTTAAAAATTCCTGAATGCCGTGTTTATTGAAACTAAGGAATGAGACTTATTCTAAATTAAAGCTGAAAGTTTTCTCTTTAAAGTGATGTATAATAATTGTTGGGTTGGATTGGAAAAATATTGAGAAAAAAAATGTTGAAACAAAACTTACATTCTCGTATAACCTAAAAATGTCAAAAAACTTGCTAATTTAAAAATTCCTGAAAGCCGTGTTTATTGAAATTAAGGAATGAGACTTATTTTAAATTAAAGCTCAAAGTTTTCTTTTCAAAATGATGTATAATAATTGTTGGGTTAAGAATTGTTGCAAAAATTTGTACAAAATTGCAAAACTGTTCAAAATGATAGTTATTACGAGATAGATTTTGTTACTTTTTTATTTATTTTTCCGAACTGTGTGTGGATACTAGCCATAAAATAAACACAAAGAGAATTCGTGACTAGAAGAATCGTAAACGCGCCGTGTCCTCTTGGGAGGAACAGATCTAAGATTTTTCCTTCCCCGTTCAATAATTTAATAAAAGATCCCGACCCTACGTTTTCCTTTGGGTTTTTCCTCGCAGACATCTTTTCTAAAACAACTTTTTTATTTCCAGGTGTGACATAATGCCAGAAACGATGGCCACATTTCCAAATAAAGACGAAGACATCCCACCCGACATTCAAAACTACTTCTCTTCCACATCTAGTCCTAAATTAACGCCAAAATTAAACTGTGATGATCTAAATTCAAAATTGGGCGTTAAAACTGAAGACTCAAGCTTTTCTAGTTATAATTTAAAGTCATCCATTGATAACGATGATAGTTTCCGAACGAGTTTAAATGATGATGCAACTTTTGGTAGTTATAGCACTAATTTAACCGACGAAGCTTTTGGTAGTTATGAAGCGAATTTAGCTGGGTTTAATATTAATGATAAGAATAAGATAATTAAAGATAGTAAGTCGAATCAGACTAGTTTTAGTGATTTATCATCGTTGACGATTTATTATATTGAGAGTGATGATGATGATGATGTTTTGAGGAATAATAATGTTGATGCCTCGACTGAAACAACATCAACTAATTTAAGTTATCGCTTAAGAAAATGTATTTCTGATCCTGTTTATAACAATTCTAATTCGGGTAAGAAAATAAGGAATTCTTTTCATAAAGACTTAAACGAAGCTTTAAGTTCGCTGTTATGGCAGCCGTACGAATATCAAAATGTTGAAAGTACCGACGATGAAAATCAAGACGAAGAAGAAATAGAGGATTCTTCCATCGATTGCAGCGACCTTGAAGATACGAACAATGGTGAAGAAGCAGTGAATAACCTGCACCGGCAGCAACGACAACAACGGCAAAAGCACCAGCAGCTACAGCAGCAACGCACGGACGAAGAAGAAGAGGGGGACCCTCAACGTCGGTCACGTGATGGTTTGCCTCTCTCCAGAAGTAGGTTGAGTACGGCTCCCAACAACAGTTTTAGTGTGAGTTGCGCGAACGAAGGATCCGCTGCGTTGCGCGTTCGTGATGGTATTTTTAGTGAAATGACCGAAAATTTATCGGCAACCACCGAAAAGGTGATCCAACAAAATGGCGAAAACGCCACCATCGCTTTGAGGAATTTAAGCCAAGTGAATATCGTCGGATTACCAAGCAACAGATCAAACTTGAGGAACACTAACTCGTTAACAACGGGGCAGTTTAAATACAACGCGAACGTTAATTCGGCCAATATAGTTAATTTAAATAATCACCACCATCTTAACCACCACCATAATCATCACCATCAAAGGCACCACTCTCAAATTGAAACCAATCAACAACAAACAGTTCCTATTAGTCATATTAGGAGCTTGTCGGTGCCGAAAAAGTTGGATAATAATAATTCGGGTGATGAACAACGCAGATTTCCTCCTATTAATGTCAGCAATGTTAATGTTAATTATTATCGGGCGGTTCCTGCAAATGTTGTATCCACCGTTCCTCAAATACAATGTGTTACATCCAACGATTGTGTCTCAAACGTCAACATCGTTCAAGCCATGCCATTAGGATCAACGAGTTATTCGAATTTGGCACAAAATCAACAAAATCTCCAACAATGTGCTGTAACAACTTTCGGAAGTAGCATAATCACGCAACACTTTCCAAGTGGAAACACTTACAACATCACCTCTTCAGTTCCGATTCAAGTTCAAACGAATCAAAATGTTTTTAGCACTAACACAACCGAAGTGACCATTCACGGTCCTCCGAATACGTCAAATTCGAATTCGACCAATTTGATTCAATCGAATCCGATCCAAAGTAATAATAATAATCATCAGATTCAAATTATTAATCGGCCAGCGGAAGTGACGAGAACTTTCACGTCGACGGAAGCCCAAACTGATGATACTTTGGGATTACAACCGGATGTTCAAACGCAAACAACGACGACTTCGACATCAACGACGTCTAATAATCAAACGAGTAGGGAGCAACGAAGAAGGGAACGAAGGGAGAGGCGACATCATAGAAGAACGAATAATTCGATTAATTCAAATAATGGAAATGGGAATTTGTTGATGCATCAAATTCAACAAAATGATCATCGCCTCCCCGATTTATTAAACTCGCATATGCCGCCGTCTTATAATAATTCAGTGCTTGGTGGTGGACCTCCCCCTATGGTTAATGGTGCCGGTTTAGTGAGTGCTCCTTTGGTGCAAACGATGGTACCAAATCCAATCGTGGGTAGCCCCTTGGTCACTTTTCCTGGCCCCGTTGTTGCCGGGCAAGTGCCTCTCGTTCAACCCGGTCCTTTGCCAGTTCAAGTAGCTGCACCCAGCGGATTTAGGTTTCCATTTCAAGGAACTGGATTTAGAAGGTAAGAATTTGTTGTAATAATCTCGCTAATTAGGAAGTTGCGTAAGATTCTCTTCCTCGCTGGGTGGGTAATAAAAGCTTTAATATAATAACACAATAGCGAAACGCACAAATATACACATATGGCCGCTTGTATAATAATGGCGTTAAAAGTTTCTCTTTTTGCTAGCACGCCCACTTTCACGTGAAAAAATTAACGAGGAAACGGCAATGCACCGTGAAATAAATTGAGCGAATCTAATGAAATTGTTTCCGGTTTAATATCAAAACTATAATCGCGCCATTCTTGTTATTGTTACTTACATCCTAAGATAGAGTTGGATTAAAAAGATCGTATCAATGAAAATTATAGAATCGAAATAATTATTTTTGGTGAGTTGAAACTAGATTAAATTTGCTTTAAGATCCTTCTTATTTCATTACGATATCTCAATTAGTTTTTGAGATACGATTTTTTAAATTTAAATGTCTCTAAATACAAAGAATTTAAAATTTAAACTTGTGGCCATGGATTTAAAACATCATAAAAACCAAGTTTATAGAATCGAAGAAATTATTTATTGCACCTTAAATCTTGATTAAATTTACCTTAAAACGCTTCTTATTTCATTGCGCTATCTTATTTGGTTTTTGAGATACGATTATTTAAAATTTCAATAAATTTCGGCAAAAAAGAACTTGCAAAGCTTGATTAAAAAAATGATAACAACGAGATGTATGGAATGGAAGAAATTATTTATTGCACATTAAATCTTGATTAAATTTGCTTCAAAATGCTTCTTATTTCATTACGATATCTCAATTAGTTTTTGAGATACGATTTTTTAAATTTAAATGTGTCTAAATATCAAGATTTTAAAATTTAAACATGCCTTGATGGATTTAAAACATCACAACAACCAAGGTTATAGAATCGAAGAACTTATTTATTGCACCTTAAATCTTGATTAAATTTGCTTTAAAATCGTGTTTATTTCATGGTTATATCTCAATTCGTTTTTGAGATACGATTTTTTAAATAATATTTTATAACATTAAAAACGACACAGTTGGATTAAAAAAATCATATCAATGAAATTAATAGAATCGAAGCAATTATTTTTGGTGAGTTGAAACTAGATTAAATTTGCTTTAAAATGTTTTTTAAATCATCTTGATATCTCAATTACTTTTTGAGATACGTTCTTTTAAAATTTGTTGTTTTAACTTAATCCTTCATAAATTGACGTGGAGAGGTGAACTAAAAAAAATCATATCTTCGAATTTTTTTAAAATCAAGGAATAATTTTTATCTCATTAATTATTAATTAAATTTGCTTTAAAATGGTGTTTATTTCATGGCGATATCTCAATTCGTTTTTGAGATACGATTTTTTAAATAATATTTTTATAACTGTAACATGAATTGGTAAATGTGAGGATTTTTTAAACAATTTTTCTCGAAGGCTCACTTCTTTATCTTTAACAACTACTTCTAATAATCTTTATAAAGTCTTCAGAGCATGAGGTAAACTGTTTCTTAGTTCAATTTTCGTACCCATTGAATCCCATGAAGGACAGATTCTTTCTTTTTCGATATTGTTGGCTCTTCAGTTATAAAAACTTCCTGAGATCGAGTCGCATTTTCTGTCTCTGAATCGTTGTATGAGAATCATCGGTTATTTGCACCAAACACGTGTATACGTGTCTATTTTTCTACATTTACCGTGTCTCTGCGGTAAAACCTAAGATTTACCGAGTAAAAAAGTGGTAAAAGTTCGAAATTAATTTCTTTGTGATTTAACTTCTTTTTGATTATAATTCCTCGCTGGTTTATTTAATAAATCGTTTACACATAGTTCTCACCCGCATTCCTAGTGGTACCTGCATCGTCCTCATTTATTTCTTTCGCAACATCTGCTCGGAAAAGTATCGGAAATACTTCAAAGAATAATCTGTTGGTGTTTATATTTCATAATAAAACAAATTAGAATATTTATTTATTAATTAAACATTTTTAAGTTTATCTTATTTCCTCAATTCTCCTTTACGTGCTTCTTTTTTAACTTTAAAGTAATGTATTCGCATACGATGAGGACGACGACGACGACGACGATGCACACCCGGTATGTTCTTGCATCCTGTCTCTATATTTACCGCTACTCCGTGTTGTAGTCGTCGTCGTCGGTTCGTTTCGTTCGTCCTTTACCTCCTCCTCTCGCCGTCTTTTTCTGGGCGGCTCAACAGCGGCTCGTGAGGACGAAGAGATCGTCGAACTGTACACTATAACACCACGCCTGGAACACCTGACCAACACACTTCTGGCTCGACTTCCCCCATATATTACAAAAAAAGATAATCAAAATCAAAGAAGAAATTCAAAAATCTAAATTCATGGAGGAATTTTAGGAGCTATTAGAACGGAAAGTTTCAAAATGAGGAAATGTCGTTTTAAATCGTTAAAGAAAAGTATGAATCCGGTTTTCTTTCATTCCCTTTTTTTCTTTGTGCCAAATCGGTTATTGTACAACCTACACGTTTGAAACCATAAATCACCCAACGAGTTATTCATGTAAGAGAATGAATGAGGGTGGGTGGGTAGTCGAAGAACAGATGTTGTCGGACCCTCGACACCAGTTGGGGCAGTTTCCTTTTAATAAATATTGGAAAAAGCACGAACAACAAAAATAACATCAAGTATGCAACCAAATACGCAAATCGCATATTGCAATACGCACCCTGTGATGTTGGTTGCATACTTGTAATGATGAAGATAATTAATTAACACAGTGTAGTCGTAATTCGCCTTTTCGTCGTTTAAAATTAATTGGTTAGCCCGTGGGGGTAGATTTATACGAAAAGTTAACGAAATTATCTATGCTAATAGCGCACGGATAGAGCCATAACTAAAGTATTTACTGCTGTTTAAACACGGAAAAGCAGTTTGAAACTTCCAAACCTACCTACTAGAGGTAAAGAGGGAGGAACCCCAACATTTTAACTCTGAATTATGGACGTAATCGCTTAAACACACCGAGTAAATATCCTGAACGTTTCGTTTCAGTTTTAAATCGTCAAAAATTAAAAATGTTTTCCTCCCGTTATCAGTTATCGGATAATCCGGATATAGTCGGTTGGACTTGGTAACGGTGCGTGCGTTCGTAATTGCAACGTGTATGGACGAACAAGCGAAAACGAGCTTGTTTACCGTGAGGCATTGCAAGTTCGTACCAGAAATTAATTATTGCACTAACGCTCGCGATTTTGAATTAGTGTTTGGCGTGCAATTTGTAACTAGTAATGACGTCCCAACTCTATTTGCATTGCGACCAATTATTACATTTTTAGCAATAAAAGAATTTCTTTTCTCGCCACGAAATTTTCATCGGCGCTCGGAAAATTGGTCAATTCGCGAGGAGCACTGCAAAGGCGGGATTTAGGGCCTCGTTTACTGGATGATAATGCAATTTGGAGGAGACAAAGTAACTAACTCGGCGACGAGGGAAGCCGAAAAGCTCGAAATTTCGACGTTTCACATTCTCCTCCACCTCCCTTTTAGTTTAGATCACTTTTACACAAAAAAAGTGTAATCAAAAAATGTATTGGTATAACGCGATGTGAAACTTTAGGGAAACTTTTATTCGATCAAATATTCATTATCGAGTTGAAACGTTTTCGATGTTCAAAATCCGGCGGGGCAAATTGACAGGTGGTCATATTGAAACGCGACGAGGGACGTAGATCAGAAATTTATCCGTTAATCCATTAAAAAAAGCTGGATGAAACGTGACACTATTTCAATTCAATTTTCAATATGATATAAACACAATGTGAAGCTCGGTTTCAAAACCAGATCGATTATTACCTTTGTTGTAATGGTTAAAAACGAATTGAGATATCATTATAAAATAAACACCATTTTAAAGCAAATTTAATTAATAATTAATGAGATAAAAATTATTCCTTGATTTTAAAAAAATTCGAAGTTATGATTTTTTTAGTTCACCTCTCCACGTCAATTTATGAAGGGTTAAGTTAAAACAACAAATTTTAAAAGAACATATCTCAAAAAGTAATTAAGATATCAAGGTGATTTAAAAAGCATTTTAAAGCAAATTTAATCTAGTTTCAACTCACCAGAAATAATTGTTTCGATTCTATAAATTTCATTGATGCGATTTTTTTAATCCAACTCCATCATTTTTAATGTTATAAAAATATTATTTAAAAAATCGTATCTCAAAAACGAATTGAGATATCGCCATGAAATAAACAACATTTTAAAGCAAATTTAATTAATAATTAATGAGATAAAAATTATTCCTTGATTTTAAAAAAATTCGAAGTTATGATTTTTTTAGTTCACCTCTCCACGTCAATTTATGAAGGGTTAAGTTAAAACAACAAATTTTAAAAGAACGTATCTCAAAAAGTAATTGAGATATCAAGATGATTTAAAAAACATTTTAAAGCAAATTTAATCTAGTTTCAACTCACCAAAAATAATTGTTTCGATTCTATAAATTTCATTGATACGATTTTTTTAATCCAACTCTATCATTTTTAATGTTATAAAAATATTATTTAAAAAATCGTATCTCAAAAACGAATTGAGATATCGCCATGAAATAAACACCATTTTAAAGCAAATTTAATTAATAATTAATGAGATAAAAGTTATTTCTTGATTTAAAAAAAATTCGAAGTTATGATTTTTTTAGTTCACCTCTGAACGTCATTTACGTTAAAAAATCTTAAAAATAAAATTAAAAAAAAAACCTTTTTACTCCTAAACAGTTTAGAATTAAAAAATGAAACTTTCTGTGGTTGTAAAAGAATATTTGAGGTTGGAGTAGCCCAAATTTTAAGATTCCAAGTTGAAGCGATTTCCTGCAATGCATTTTATGAATATGAATTTGACGTTTCTTAAAAATAAGGTTAAAAGAAAACCTTTTTTCTCCTAAACGTTTAAAATTAAAAATTGGAGCTTTCTGAGGTTGTAAAAGAATGTTTGAGGTTTTC